TCTTTGATTCTAGCTGAAAGTATAGATATTCTATCATATTACAGTTGTTGCAGACATCTCACGCAATGATTTGGATTGATCACGACTTCCATGTTATGGTAGTGATCAGACTTCCTACTCAACCAAAACTAAGGCCCTGGATCTCGATTTGCTTCCACCTCAAAGCGGCCCTACGAGATCACATGAGATCACACCTTCCTGCCTAGACACTCGTGGATGAAGCTGGCCAAGGACTGGGCAGTCTCCCCCTAATAACCAGTCAGCCACTAAATGGCAGTATCTCTTTTTGAAGGTGCAAACCCCTAAGCTGCCCCCAGGACTCCCCATCTGTAACAGTTGGTTAATGAAGGACCACCTCATAAACTAACAGCCTGCAAACTTTAAGTAAAAACCTTTCGTGCTGTGGTCTTTAAGGAATAAAATGTAACTTTCTAAAATTTTCAATGAATATCCCTTTTTAATCGATAAACTTATCTTTTGAAAGCACACAAAAATCGAGTTGATTTTTCTGGAAAATTTTTGAATATTGCATTTAAATGTAATTGGTGTCTTTTGTAACGAAATATACTTTAAGCAGTTTAAAAAACAGGCTGTTTTCAAGGCTCCGTGGCATATAAAAGTACTGCCAGAATGTTCCTAGAAGTGACGACGGTGAGGTTTTAACACACATTTCCGACATGTGATCAGGAGTGACCCACCTGGAGAAGGCCATCATGCTGAATCAAGCGGAGGGTCAGTGAAAAAGAGGAAGAGCCTCCATGCGACCGCCCGACACAGTGGCTGCAGCAGCAGTGGGCTGCAGCCTAACATTCATTGTGAGGGTAGCGCAGGGCCAGGCAGGGTCTCACTCTGTAACACACGGGGTCACGATGACTGGGGACAAACTCAAAGGCACCTAGCTAGGTGACAGGAAAAGAAGGCCTACAACTCCCCGCTGCCACGTGAACTCGGGCATGAACTTTATTTTATCCACTTGTTCAGTTAGTCCAGTATGTGTTGCGTACCTGCTGTCAGATCAGGCTGGAAGGGCCGTTGGAAACGGCCAAGAGTGGAATGCTTTTCCATACCCAAATGGCAACTCTGTGGACTTCAGCTTTATGCTTGTCAGGCTCAACCGCTCAGGCCGCTAATAAGAAATGGCCAGGGAGTTTAAGAAACTATCTTGAAAATGGAAAAACGGATGCTTCCAGACGATGTTAAAAATTGTTATGAAATGAGTAGCAGGCAGCACACAGAAAGAAGTCACAGGGAGGCTACGGGCCCAGAGGGAATTATCCACTTAATTATCCTGAATGAGAATGACCCAAAAACAGTGTCAATTTTCTATTACTGTCTATGGCCTAAGAACGATGGGAAGCCTTTCCCAAAAGCTTTCCTAACGCTTCAATCATTTTTTCCC